ATATACATATTTTAATCCCAATATTTTATTAATATATAAGAAAGTTGATATATATATGGAAGATTAATTTATATGTGAAAATAAAAATATCTATGCACTTATACCCTAATAATGGCCTTAATTTTTTTTTAAAAAATGAATTGTAACATGAGAGGTATATCATCAAACCAATTATAAAAACTAAGACAAGACAACGCTTCTCTATCAACAGCTATCTGATTTCTATTGAAACGAGAATCCGACTAAGATAGTGCAATAGAAATGAGAATCCGACTAAGATAGTGCAATGCCTTTTCTTTTCCATCCTCATCAACTTGCACCAATAGAGCATCTAATAACCATCCAAAGTGGTGATGTATACGATTAAAGGTTTCCCAGGAATTGAGTCTGCTAAGACTAGAGGATTCATTAAGTATTACTTAATGTTTTCGAAAGCATTTTGACATTTTTCATCCCAAATGAATCTGGAGTTTTTCTTAGCCAAAATAGCAAATGACTAACACCTTCCAAATAGATTTGAAATGAAACATCTTAAATACGCCAAACTAGAGGATTCATTAAGTATCGCTTAATGTTTTCGAAAGCATTTTGACATTTTTCATCCCAAATGAATCTGGAGTTTTTCTTAGCCAAAATAGCAAATGACTAACACCTTCCAAATAGATTTGAAATGAAACATCTTAAATACGCCAATCTTCCCCGAAGGCACGAATTATAAAGATAGATTTGGTTATTAACATATCATAATCGGAGAGAATTATCATCATAAAAATTATGTACCAATTTTTAAGTTAAATACTCCAAGCTTTTTTTTTTTTTTTTTTTTTATATATAGAACCAATGACATACATACATCAAAATAAGGCTATAATAGGAGTGAATTCCATGTATAATTTTATACTTAAGGCAACCATCCATCCTCTACACTAGTTTGCTAAGGATGACAATATCGAGTTTAATCAAAGCTCATTAAGAGCCAACATCATATCAAATGTAACAATATTGTCACACTAAAAAATCTTGCTACAATAAGTGTCGTACCATCTAATTAGGCGGTAGTCTAATTGTAATCATATAACTTTATTATAATTTTTATCATCAACAACAACAATAACATCAAACTTTTATCTAATTATGCGAGATAAAGTCTATGAAATATGACCATAAGACATAATTAAGTACAAATATCCCTATTTTCTAATATTGACTTAAAATTGGCTCATTCAATCATTTTTCAATATTTATTAATTATAGGTAACTTGGAGTCCATGATAATTTTGAATGATCGATCCATGAGATTCTAAAGAGGTCCAACATAATTTCACCTTCATATGCTCTATAAGCTAACAATGATACATCTTTTCTCCCAATCCAAATGTTTATTATAAAAAATGTAGCATTATAGTATTCATAAATTAGCATTAATTGAAAGTATTCTCATATGATTAATGTAATTAACTATAAGGTATTAATCTTATAAACAAAATCTTAGGTAACAAAATAGAACAACATAATTACCTCAAGCTCGTTAGCTAAAATTAGAAGAAATCACTTGCGCCAAATGTTAAATGTACATCTCATCGGCCAACCTTAAATAGGAAAAAAATATTCTGTGCGGAGGCCAATTAAAATACACCACATCACCCTTTTTACTATACCGCAGCATCCGAACATAGAGCTGCATCCAACTTCCTCACAGAATAATTTCTCCTTAAATAGAGACATATAGACTCAACCAACTTGAGGACTAGCCAATCTTTCCCTTATAGGTATACATGCTATAACACTCACATATTTTATGTAATATTTCAATAACTCACACAAGTCAAATAATAATATATGCATAACATATAATATGCACCAACAAATGTACTCATAATACAAAGCTAATATAGTAAATATTATATATAATGCAATATAAAGTAATATCAATAACACTTTTTCACTTGTAATATTACATATTAAAGGAGTATATGATAATATTAAAAACATACATGCATTTATCACATCAAGCAAACTTAAGTACCACCCGAACATGAAATCAATCTCTTATGTTTATGCGTTTATCACATCATGCAAATATAAGTTTACTTCATTATGTCTATGAATGTCATAAATCGGAGTGTATAGTAACATGCCAATTATATCACGTAGGAGAAATTATTCTTTGCGAACACTGGACGTCGTCTGGAGGCGAATCAAAACGGCCACATTATCTCCATGCTGTGTGTCACAACTATGTACCCGCTGTGTGCTAGATGACATGATGTACTTTGATTCTCCTTCGGATGATCGGTGTCTGCACAGAATAATTTCTCCATAGAATACATGCTATACACCAAACATAGTAATTTATTGAATATTTTATATCTATGTAGCCGACCTCATGATGTAATGGAATAAAGGCTTGATGTTGTTATTTTTATTGTATACCTTAAGACTACCACACTACATAACCCAAATAAAATGATAGCGTATATTAGATAAGAACACAACATCCTGTAATATTGAAAGAATGAAAGCTCTCAACTTTCAACTTCTAAGCAATGGTTTAAAAACATAGCATTTTACTAGACAAAAACCTTGTCCTATAAACAAATGAACACAATATATCTTCCTTAAAGTTTGTCAAATAAGAATATAATGAATAGAATGAAACCGAAAGAACAAATTGCAAACCATAATCCAGTTATGATGACTTCCTCTTCAAAAGCAAATTTCTACTAAGAATTTGCATGGTAGTTGAATTATATCACACGAGCCGAGTCTCCTGCTTCACATAGCAAGGCGACTCGGCCTCCTGGAACTTGGAGAGCCAACTCTGGCTGGGTCTTACTGTACTCTCTTTGGACGAAGGCGGTGGCCGCCTCAGCTTGATTGGCGTCGACAAATGCAAGGCAGCAGCCTCTGAATCCGGCGCCGCTGAACCTTGCACCAAAGACACCAGGGGTCCTTAAGAGAATCTCATAGAGTTGTATCATAGGTTCACAGCCTGCATTTAGATTATTGCCAATCTGCTTAATCACAAGTTATATTTATTTAAGTTTTTATTAGTGAGGAATAATTATAATTTCGTTTTGTTACAAACAGATTCTGATTAATTTTTTCATGATGCGATAACATTTAAGGGAGTATTGGAAGTAATTGGCTTTGGATATCTGAATAAATTTTTGATCATGATAAAACTCAAAATTATTGAATTTACTGTGAGATATGTGCAGTGCAATTTATCACAAAATAAATTCAACGGATTTTAAATCTATGATCAGAATATCCTGATCACAATTTTGTTTTGCGTTTTAACGGAGCATATCAAACAACAAGGAGTTACCACATTCGTAGTTTTGTATAGAGCTGAGGCCAGAAGCTGATATCAACTTTCCAAATTCTACTAAATTTCCTGAAGCCCATGCTTTTACTCCTGCAAAAAAAAAAAAAAAAAAAAATGCAAAAAAAAAAAAAAAAAAGTTCATCAGTAGCCTTACTCAAATAGTTTGCAACAAACTAAAATATGAAAAAAGTATTTTAAAATGAAAATTTTAATTTCTATTTGAATTGGAACACTTCAGCACTGTGCTTGGTAGTGTTATGATGCTAGATTTGAGAGCACAGTGGCGCCATAAATTGGCGCCGCTGCATTGGAGTTTCTGCTCTATAGTAATTATAGATTCATCATGCGGCGCTAGGCCACTAACATCATTTATTTATATATCGATAAAAATACATTTTCTTCTAATTTATCACACTTTTATCTTGTAACTTTTCGTATATAATAGATATGGACTTTATGAACAATTTGACTTTAATATTATCGAATTTCACTGGGTAAAATATAATTTATGATTTTTTGAAATTACAAAATAATATATAGGTTTTCGTATATTTTATAGATTTAAACATTTCATGTATTAAAGAGATTGATACAACTGATATGAAATAAATATGATAATTGCACGTAAGTAAGGAAGACTGGCTATTAATTCTATAACTAATCCATGTTGGCTATTAAAACATAATACCCTGCGTAGGAGAGTGAGCTGACGGGTTTTCCTTTAAATATGGTTTGTGGTGTTATCCCGATTGTGGCTTATAATTGATGATCGATTATGCTGACAGGCAGAGGGTGACGACTCTTAATGATTTATTGAAAGCCATCTATAATGATTAAATGATAAATATGCTATAATAATGATGATGATGATGGATATAGATGAAAGAATGAAAACAACACATTAAAGCTGGATGTCCTACCTTACTGAATCACATACTGATGCAATCCGTGCTTTAATAGCATTCATAACATTGATAGATAGAAAAGTGAGTGTGCATTACATATACTAATTTCATATAATAGATAATTGATAAGATGGGCAAGACTAATGACATTAGCACATGTAAATTGTTATGAACCGGTTGGGGGCCGGTTCAACTCACCGGCCACCCGCCTATTAATAGAACCGCGACCCAAGATGGCTATTCGCGAACAGGGAGCGGAAACGAAGAGGGGCGAGCAACCGAACGTGCGAAGGAGGGATTTGGAGTTTTTCTTTCGCCATTTTTAGCAGTCGATCGCGTTGAAGGATAAGAACTGACCATTCCTTTTCATTTCTACCATTAAAGGAGTGCTATTTTGGGAGAATTTGCAATGAGCGAGAGGAAAGAGGGAAAAGGTTTGATTTGCAAATTTTTTGTAAAAATTGTTTCCTAATTATTTCTCCAACCCTTAGAAACATTAATTTAGAGATAAAAGAAGGAAACGAAGGCAAGGGAAAGGAATTTTGGGAGAGAAGGGTTTAAGAATTTTGAGAAAAATCTTCATTTTTTTCTTTGTAAGTGACTCTCATATTATACAAGTTTATTTCAATTTTATTATAAAAGCATGTTTTTATAGAAGTTACATTTTGGGAAAATTGTAGGAACTCGAAGTTGAAGTCGCTCCAAGGATCGAAGTTTTGGGAGGAATAAAGTGGGTAATTTATATGTGTAAATTTTCATTATTTTACTTTCATTTCGAATCTGGAAGTAATAGTGCATATAATTAAATAAAGTCTTATGGAGAATTTTAAATGCATTGATTGAAAACTATTGAAGCTTTAAGAATAAGAAAATATCGAATTGTGAAAGAAAACAAATGGAAAGAAAGTGGAAGGTGAAAATGAAAAGCATAGATAAAATATGGATAAACTAGAGATATATGTATATGGTACATGTATACAATTATAAGAAAATAAAATGATAACAAAATGAAGGAATCAAAGGAAAAAGAGAAAATGTTATGCATGTAAAGTGTACAGGAGTTCACCCCCTTATGATACTGGCTGGGGACGTCGTACTCGTGCACGTGAAAAGGAAAAGGAAAATGTAATGGAAATGGAAAAGGATAAATGGAAAAGGTTGTACCTTTGGGTACTTTGAAATGGTGCTCCTGTGCAAATTAAAGGGGAAAAGGAAATATTAAAGATTTAAAATATTTTAAATGAAATTAATTGAAAAAATATATAATAGACTGAATGGATGAAATAAAGTTAAGAATTGATAAGACACATATTAACGATTATAAAGGTATTGTAAATAAAGAATATTAATATTGTTCATTTAAATAGTTACCCATTGAGTTTACTTAGTAAACTCAACCCACGAGTTTAAATGTTTCAGGTAAGTTCCTAAAGAAGAAATGACTGAAAGAGAAGAACACGTTTACAGAAGACGACGTGCAAATGACAACAGATAAAATATATTTTGTGTTTAGTGGCTCTTTAAAACGAATGAAGTAGTATAATGTTTAATGAATTTTATCGTCTGACTTTTCGTACCCGCCTCGTTAGATCGAGCATCCGGGCCAGGTCGTGACATAAATTCATGCTACAATACTGATTTTTTGATTACCGATGTATTTATGTTTTCACACATGTTGTTGATTTGATTCTCACTTTTCATTATTAATCATATTGAATTGTACAAGTAAGGATTGAATATTGATGATATTTAATACTATTGATTTTATTGATTGAGATGAACATGCATATTGATTCATTATATCTTGTATAGAAAGCTTTAGTGAGTTTTGAGTTTCTGCTGGGCTTTGTAAGCTCATTATGTGGTTGTATTAATTTCAGGTCAGGGAATGAATCAGGACTGTGAGTGAGACTGATTGACATCTTCAGGCTCTTTTGATTTTATTTCGTATTTTTTTTATTCTTTTGTAATTAGGAGCTATTGTTAGGTTAATGAATGTTAGTTATCTACTTAAATATAACTTTGGTGAATGAATATAGTGAAATATTTCAATATTTATGATATTTAATTGTTTTTAGCTGGATATTGAATTATATTGATGATTTAAAAAAGATCTGGTTGATGGCTAAAAAGATAAAATAAACAATTTTTTAAAATTGATTCTAGGGTGTGCCATAGTTAGAACTAGATTTAAGAATTCTTAATCTTCATTCACTTTTGTTGAGTGTTATATAATGTGTTAACTTTATTAACACTCACTGAGATAATTAGACTAGATAGTTTAAATATTTTCAGAGAGGTGAGAATATTATCCACAGCTAGAAGAAAACAAAAAATCCAGTAATTATCAATTAAGATAGACCCGAGACGTTCTTTTATAAACTTATTGGTTCGGTATGAAAAATTGCATTCCCATATAAATGGCACTGCATTTCACTTGTTATTATAGTGCTAATAATGGGTTAATGTATGTATTTAATATATTTGCCCTTCTTTAAATTGATGCCAAATAACAGCTGATCAAAACAAGGGAATACATTAAACTATCTATAGTTACAGTTCTGCTATACACAATCATGGGAAAGTAAAAAAATTAGATAATTGGAAATGAATAACAGCATATACCTTCATGAACCCTTTTATTTTCTGAAAAGTAGTGCTCTGCTCTTTTAGCTAAATTTTCTTTTAGTTTGTGCTGCAAGAAACAAGGGTAAGAAAAAAAAAAATTATACCAAAAGCTGTAAAGAAGTGGTGTCGGTTTTCTAATAATAGATGACATCTTAATTGACAAGCATCCCAACTAAATACTTTTATGTGCTGCATAAAGCAAGATAGTTGAAAAGAGTAGAAATGATTTGAATTTTATGTATTTTATTGCAAAAGTCTTGCCCCTTTATTTATATAACATGATTCAAGTTTACTCTCAGAAACTTCAACATATTGAAACTAATAATAGCATTGAAGTTAAGAAAGAGATTCACAGCTTGTACACATTTATTTCTCTAGAAATCATAGAGAGACTTCTGCCCCTTGAGAGAAGTCCCATAAGTTGTCAACTTATCCACAACAATGAGCCGTTAATTTGCAATCTCAGGTTGTCAAGATGGTCTCTAATTGACAACAATCCTTCATGTTATGTTTTGTTTTACTTCAGGGGATTTGCTTATTCTGAAATTACTTCCTTCAGTGTTGTATGCTGCGTGGAAATCACTTTCAAAGGAAATGAAACCCTTGAAAACGTGTATATCATCAGCCTTCAATTTTTCGGAAGCGCTAACATGTAATATTTTAAAGGAACAAGGACAAAGAGCTTAAGATTTGAGAAAACAACCTATCCAAGTAAATAAAAAGTGCAGTGAACACAATTGTTATGACCTGGGTGCAGTGAACTGGTTGAACTTTAACTTTCCACAATATCAGGAGGTCCTCACCAAGAAATATGATGAAGGTAACGTGTACTACTTGCAAAAGCTGGTCACCTCCAAGGAGCTCAACAACAAGTTTGAGGACAAAGACTTATTTATGAGTTATTATCAGACTTCTTGTAAGAGAGCGATGAGGCTAGTGAGACCAGTTATTAATGTTGCCCTTTTTGTATTTTCCTTTTTTGTGTAACACCAAAATTCTTCATAAGGTTCGATAAAATATTCCCTAAAAATTGTACCAAATTTTTCTGCATATCCCAAAATTTATCAAAAACCATTTTTACTAAATTTTATATTCCATTTCAATCATTTGGATACATATATGCATGTAAAGAAAAAGTTTCTATATTAGATTATAAAATTCCTCAAACTATTTGAAAATTTCTTAAAGTTTTAAATGTAATTTTACTGTAGATTAAATTAATCCACTGTAGCTATTAGGATGAAATCTCGATTTTTCCAGAAGATTAAGGCAGTGGAATCCAAAACCTATTAAACTTAGTTAATGTTTATCAGTATATATATATATATATATATATATATATATATATATATATATATATATATATTTTTATATATATATATACATATATATATATATGTATGTATTAATTATTGTCATTTTTCCTACCTGATACCAGCAGCTGTTAGTTAAAGAAGGTGGATGCAGCAGTATATGAGCGGAAAGAGATGATGGCTGCACTGTATCAACCGCACTGTAGCAGCAGCAGCACAAAAGAAGCTAGTTATTATAACAGCCGTGGGTACTGTAGCAAACGAGAAAAAACATCAGAGAAACAAAAAGAAGAAGGAAGAGAAAAAAAAGGAAAAAGAGAAGGAAGAAGGAAATAAAGCAAGGAGGCTAATGATTTAGGTAAGAAATTTGGATTTTCTTGTGTTAATTTCTACAATTGGATTCAGAATCAAGTAGATAGACTTCAAGAATTGAATGAGATGATATATATTTGAGGTAAGACCTTATTCTGTGATTTGATATCGATTGGATTTATAAATTATGAATTATCATAATTTCCCAAAAAAATTATATATGATTTATTTAAGTTATTTATGAAAGGAAAAAAGATTGGAGTATCCTAAGAGAAAAATCCAATCCAAAGAATGAGGTGAGATATCCAATCTTTAGTGCAAGAAGCAAATAATTAATAGGACTAACTTTTATACAATTTCTTCATATTGAACATATGATAATAATTTTATTTGTAGTTGAAATTGCACACTTATGATTACCTGATTATAAAAAAAATTATCTCAGATGTATGATATTCCAGATTCATGATAACTATTTGATATCATATTTTATTCTTGACACAATCAGAATAGTTGATTTTTATCAGGTACACATTCACGCTCAATAAGTCACTACACGTAAGAGCAAAACTTTTGATAATGAAAGTTTGTGTAAAGTCATTTTATGGGGGATAACCCAACAAATAATGATCTGTGCAGGGAAAGACAAGACTTGATGAGATGAGCCTTAATAGGGACCATATATGATATATCTGAATCTCTCTTCTAAAAAGCTGGTACGTTGGAATCCAGCCTTGAAGTGAGAGGTCATTATCAAATTAGTAAGTCAACCAGCTAAGAGACGACTTATTATAAATATGCAAAAACCTATAGGTATTATATGGCTTTTCTAAAACAGTGAACATGAATGAAATGAGAACAAAATGAGGGAAATCTAATAATTTCATTTAATAATTGAACATTCGTATGCAATTATCATTTGCTAAGCAATAGATATAATAATTGAACATACTTAGCCTGTCGACTTACTAACATAGGGCTTCAGCTCGTCTATAGGAAGTAATCTTGTTGCTTTTAGGCTTGAACTTGAGCCGAGATTGTGAGTCTTCAACCCAACCAGTCAACTGTTGTTATTTCATTGATCAAGTTATTCCTGTGAACTAGAAATTTTTCTGATGAGCCTTATCAGATGCCAAGGTTCGAGGTTAGTTGACTTCACATTTGCCTGGTTAGGACAACACTTAATTTTAACCATTCCATCTCTACTTTAACTCACATTACCTGAGAAAATTCCTTGAGTGTTAATTAGAAGGTAAGCAAGCTCCTTATCTGACTTAGGGATGGACGAGTAGATACATGATAGTAAAGATTACATGGTGTTGCATTAAAAATCCAATCATCTAAAATATCTATCATATAATGGTACATGTATACACTAACAACTACATATGATTTTTGAATACTGCCTTGCAACTTCAATATTTCTTCTCCTGAACAACTTATGGCTGTGAGATTGCATTTGAGTTCATGTCAGGTAGGATGTCATATAAAACTCACATTTTGAATAGAACTGTCTATTGCCAATCTACTCCAAAAAGAAATTTATTCTTCTTACCATCTAGAAGTGACAACTCCACTATCGATATAATTAAACATTTAAATATAGTTCTCATAGTTCGTATGATTTCCTTCTATTCCTAAGTTAGACGGAATCATCTCATGATATCTCATCTGAATGAAACAAAGCCTAACTAAATCATGTAAATCTGTCTTAAAGTAACTTCCAACCAGACCAAGCAAGAAATTCTCTTGTAGGATCACAACATTCTCATGACTTCCGTATCTAATCTCTATAACAATTTGTCAGGATTTAGGCCCATACATGCATAAAATAATGGTTAAGGCCCAGCTGAAATCATGCATTTCTAATAAAGGATTAGATGATATTTCACCAATAGTTATTTGGCGAAGGATAGCCATCACTAACCAGCTTTCCAATGACTATGACTAGCCATTGTCAGAAGATAGGATGGCTTATAAAACAATGCTATCAATATAATAAATTAAAAAAAGAGTTGGGAGAGAAGTCTGGTAGTTGTATGATGGCTATCAATTGTTGTTAAATAGAAGTTCTGTCATTGATATTATGATCAATAATATGAAGACGTGACTGGATATTGCCTAGTCAGATGAATGTAAGCCTCTCATTTGCCCTACATGTGATGGGACAAGGGTCACCCAAAGTTTTATTTAGCCTTAAATGTGTCATGATTGATGATTGAAGATAAATACACACACATACATACATATAAGACACGCTCTTGAAAATTTTATTCAGCCATAGTAATCAAAATCATATTCATTTTCTAGAGCTAAGATAACCCTGGCCCTCATTCTAGACCAATTGTGACCGACATCAACAGAAGTTGTTAGGTTGTATGAAAATGAGCCCTTCCATTGGCATGTACGTTATGATGCTGTCATAAATTGAGACAAGGATAATCAATTGAGCCTATAATCCTATTAACACATCATGATGATGACAAAAATAAGACTTAATGATGTGATGCATGAATTGAGTTACACATGATTAAAGAAAAGGAAATTAAATAAGAGCTTAACCGTTTATAATATCATGCTTCAAATTAAAATCGGTTACAAGAAGTCGTAGAGTTATACTTTGCTTAGGCAAAGGAATTACAATGAAAATTGACCGGGCGATTTAAGCCAATACGAAGGAAAAAAGTAAAGTTAAAAGCTAGTGAATTGAATCCAACAATTAATACGGAGTTGTTCACCTTGAGGCCTCTTCTCTCTTTCCTACGAAACTAGGTTGAGCGGCGGAAGATCGTAAGCTAGTAGTGAGGTTGCCACGAGGAGGGAGGAGCCAATGATCGTCGCCACGAGGAAGGAGCTTGGAGGTGGTGGAGGCGCGGGTGGGTGGCCTTCGATGATCCAGTCGTAATATGAAAATTGTTCGTCAATGACGTCTATAAGAGTGGGGAGGATCCGATTCAAGTAGTCTTCCACGTTGTCGTCGAACCCAAATCCCACGTCGAAGAACGGCGATCTAAGAATGTGAACGTGGCCGTAGATGTCGATCTTAATCCCGTAATTAGTAGCGGGATCCGCCATACACCATGTATTGGGAGCCAGTTTGTCACCACAAGCTCAAGGGGATGAAGGGGTGGTGTGGGGATGAGGGAGAGAAAGGGTCGGCGGTAGAGAGAGTTGGGGAGTTTGTGATTTGTTGAAGAAAACTTAAATTAATTTCAGTTTTAAGGGTTTTGGGAGGGAAAATACAAGAAATTTGAATTTCCAATTGAGTGCAATTAAGGCACTAATGGAAATTAAATTAGGGTGAGGTTAATGGGGAGCCGGCGGTAGAGAGAGAGGGGAGGGGAAATAGAAAACTGAAATTATTTTCAGTTTTGCACAATTGGGGGGAAGAGTTATTTGGAAGTAATTAGGATTTCAAATAGGAAGGGGGAATTAATTGGGTAATTAATGGGGAAGCAAGATTGGGGGGCCGGCGGCATAGCTAGGGAGAGAGAGGGAGTTATGGAGAGAGGGAGGGGGTTTTCCAAATATAAAATGATGACTAGGAAAATCTGAAATAAAATCCAAATCAACTTAAATTTAATTAATTTGGATTCATTAAAAAAAAAAAACCTTCCAAAAATAGAATTTCCAAATTTGGAAAGAAATTGAAATTTGAAATTTCAAATTTCAATGAGAAGTAGGGGAGGGGGATGTGGGGAAGGTAGTGGTACGGAAAGGAGGCCGGCGGCAAGGTGGCCAGCCGGCGAGGCTATGGTGGCCGGCGGGTGGATCTAGGGACGACGGCAACAGAAGCTTGGCTTCTTGCTTCCTCTTCTCTACTTGGGGTCTTCGGTGGTGGAGAGATAAGAGACTAGAGATTTCAAGCCTTGGGTGATTGCTACAAGTGAACTCACAAAAAGATCACAAAGAACTCACTAAGAGATCTCTACAATATTGAACTCACAAAGAGAACAAAACATAAGAAAATTTCATTTCAATAATTCATTAGCCTCATACAAGATACACGAGCCCTTTAAATAGGCTCCAACAAAAGTCTACTATGCCCCTTGGGCTACAAGAGAAAACAAATACCCACAAGGGTAAAATGGGAAAAACTGAAAGTAAATAAGTAATAATAAAATGCAGATACAAATAGTCCTCAGTGGTACAGGCTCTCTATCATGGCCGTCAATCTCTGGTGTCGTCTCTGATAGACGCGCCGGAATCTCCTGTCAATGCCCCCATCACTTAAGCTCTAGGTTATATTGTTTAGTTGGAACATCGGATAACTATGTTGATACTTTGATGGCCCCTAGCCTTCCTTTAGAACCAATAGTAACAAATGTTATTATAATTTGTCTAATGATACCAACATTTGATCAAAATGCAAATCTAAGTTGCGTTTATGATCCATTTTAAATTAATTTTACATTAAGGCTTTTTAATTATATTTTTCTTGAGAAATGCCCCTTAAAATTTAGCCCTTTTTCTTATGTGATAATTTTGACATAGCGAGGGTCTTTTTTTAGAATGTTTGACACTTTGAATGCGTTGGCATGCTCCATTTTGGGAAAAGAAGATAGCCATGCTGATGGGAACATTAGATCGTGGAAGGTCTATTAGAGACGTGGCCGTCGATCTACGGCGCCACAATTGAGTCATTATATTTCTGATTTGTTTTATGTATTTTCTTATTTATAATGTCATATTGTATTTGCTTTATTAGTTTCCCGTTGTACCCTTTTATTAAGGGAGGTCGTATGTAAGCCCTAGGGTCATTGTCATCCTTTTATGTTGCGAGTCATTGTATGAGGCTATTTATAGCCCCATTGTTTTTCTTTTCAAGTTAATGAATGATTGATTAAAATAATTATTCCCTTTGCATGAGTTCTTGTGAGAGCTTGAGAGATCGGAGTAAGATCCCTAGGAGAGGGAGAATTGCGCATCACCCATTAACCTAGACGAGTCAGGTTCGTGGGACTATCTCGCCGCCGCCCCCCCTCCCCCCCCTCTCATTAAACACCCTTGGATTTATTTCCTAATCCCTCCATCCTCTCTTGGAAATAATTCCAAATCCCCACTACCTCCTTGGCCGAAATTTCCTAACCCCCATTATTTGGTTTATTTCCAAAGGAGAAGCTCTCCTTTTGGAAATACATTAAAGCCTCCCCCATCTCCCCATGCTGCCGGCCCCTCTCTCCTATCCCCCCCTCTCTCTCTCCAATCCCCTCTCTCTATATTAACACCTCTTTCCCCTCTAGGAATTAAATTCAAATTTGATTCCTAAATCCCTCCCGATTAGAAATATGAAATTTATTTCAAATTTTTAATTTGTTCTTTCCCTCTTAACCTACTTCTCCTCTCCCAAACCCTCCTCCCTTAGCCGGTCATACTTCATCATCTCCACTTCAAGTTTAAGAGAAACTTCTTTCTCTCTAAATGGAGTTGCAAGGTTACTAGAGATCTTCGAAGGCGACCATCATCTAGCATTCATGAATGACTGATCCAGATCTTGATTACGGCCTCTCTTACGACGAGCACGGATTTATTTGCATCTTACACTCGACCTTTTTCGACATCAATCGGCGCATCGATCACACTGTAGAAGAGTACGTAGAGCACATTTTGGACACCTTGGTCGAGGCTATTGAAGAACAACTTGGAACCGTCAAGTGGAGGATTACAACCGATCATTGACGAAGATCTTCTAATCTTCCTCTTCTTGTATTACTTAAAATCTAAGCCTCTTCCTTGTGATTTGATTTTAGTCATGAAGATCGGGTTCGCCTAACTCTGCCGAGCTTAGTAAATGTAGGGATTGAGTGCACTTCATTTGTTTCTAATCTTATTGTTAGATTATGGATTTTCGTTGAAAGCTATTATATTTGCATGTTGTTGATTTCCTATGTTATTTTGATGAGTCAAAGCTCTTACTGTGTAACTTAGCCTAAACGAAAGTAACCGCTCTTACATTTTACCTTGTCATTTATTTGCTAATAGTTCTAATCTTTATTATTCTAATCAATAACTCGTGCAAGTTCTTTTCAAGTTATTGCATGCATTGTAGTCCTACATCACACGCAATGTCGCACCTGTGATTTATCGTCAATTTTGCTTTTAATTGAATTGACTTTACGAAGCATGCATAAAGGTCAACAATTCCAAAGTTGTGGTGCAGCTCTTTTTTTTCTCTTTTTTGACTATAGAAATACAATTAATGCAGTATGTACTAGTAGTCAAATAGTGATAGGAGAACCAACCAACTAACTTCAAGTTATTGCATGATCTTATATAATTAAGCCATTATTAGATGTTCAATAAAATAGAAGGCAATGAACTTATTTATAAAGAGTAAAAGCTCAAAATAGTCCCCCGACTATTAGTAAATGTTCAATTTAATCCCTGATTTTTATGATGACCCAATTTATCCCCCTGACTATTAGAAAATATTCCAATTTGGTCGAAAGTCTAAAAGTAACAGTTAAAATTAACCCCAACAGTTAAATGAGAGGGCATTTCGAGTATTATGGTGTATGTAAGATTATATTATTTTTTATATATTTTTTTAAATTTATCATATTAAAATAATACAAAAAAAATGAAAGTTAACCAATTAAATAACAAGTGAATAATTAATAAACATGGTTAACTTTCATTATAATTTTTGTATTTATTTTAATATGATAAATGACAAAATATATAAAAATAATAATACAATTTTACATACACCCTAATGTCCAAAATGCCCTCAGATTTAAGTATTGGAGTTAACTTTAACTATTACTTTTAGTCTCGGGATCAAATTAATACATTTTCTAATAGTTAGAGGACTAAATTAGGGCCTTATGAAAGTCTGAGACTAAATAGGGTATTTACTAATAATAGAGGGGCTATTTTGGGCTTTTACTTGATTTGTAAATAACAGGCAACTACTAATATAAAATAGTAATTAGTTATTAAGTCCCAATCCAAAAGTACTAATAGTAGTAAATTTTACAACTAAGTCATTAACTAAGTATTTTACACATATTTTATATCCATGAAATTAATTTATTAATTAGTAACTAGGAAACCGGGTTGATAACAACATAATCACACACACACACACTACCTAGGGTAAAGCATTAGGTAAATAGGAAACTGACAGCCTGTTTATTTGTAATAGTAAGAATGTAAACTATTAATCAATTAGTCAATAGGACACAACTTATTTACTGAATTAGCTAAGAAATTGGTGATTAAACAAAACTACTGATGTGGAACAAGCTAAACAATGACATCAAGATAACATTAATAGAGATAAGCTTTTCTTAATTAAGCCACTAAGTACACCACATCATTATAACTTACTTTGTTTGTAATTAGTCCAAAGAAACAATATTATTCTGAACAAGTAGAAAAATGATGCATCTTGAATACCTTGTATGCTTCATAAATACTTGGTCCAACTGTTAAAACAATGTTAAATCGGACAAATTAAAAAAAAAAAAAACACTTTCGGAAATTTATTTATATGTTTATATGAATATCCAATTACCTTCACAAAGACGTGGATCCACACTTTCAGCACCTGAAGCACTGCACAACAAAGAAGCCAAAGCAAAGAATAAATGAAGGATATTAAGATTTTATGTTCAAATGAGATGCTTACTAAGATTTTAAAAGATATTGGAGATAGTACAATAATTTGATTGGCAAATTTTTAATTGATTTTTGAGACTAAGAGATGTCGAATGATTGGAGAATAAATATTTTGGTACCAATATTTAAGAATAAAGACAATGATTAAGATTATGCTAACCATAGAAAAATACAATGGAATATAGGCTTACAAAATGGAACTATAGAAGAGAGCACTGGAATATAGGCTTAAAGAATCATATAAATTTTGGAGAATCAATTTGATTTTATGCCAAGAAGATCTACTATAAAAAGCGATTGTAATGTAAAGATGATAAAGTATAGAGAGCAAAGAAAGAGGGGTTTTCATATATTTTTTATGGATATTGAGAAAAAGAATTGATCTAAGTACCACATGAATTAATTGGGTGTGCTTTAACATATAAGTATTTGGGTCAAAGATATAATAACATTCTTAAAGATATTTTTGATGGAGTATAGCCTATTAGAAGCAGTTTTTAAGTGCCCTAAAAGGTTTCAATTATCATAGATTTATATCAAGATAAGCATTAAGCATGTATCTTTTTTGTATTAGTTATGGATAAATTTATATTGAATATTCAAAGTGAGGTGCTCTGGTATATGATTTTTATAAATGACATAGTTCAAATTAGTGAAACATCTATTAAAATAAGTAAAAAATTTAAAAATAGAGAAAATATTTAAAGACATTTTAAAATTAGTAGAACAAAGATTTAGTATTTGATATATAATTATAGTGCACATGATGTTATAATTATCATTCGACACTATTAGAAGATAGGGTAATACCTCTAGATTTATCTTTATATTAATCATATAGAAGAACAAATGATGAATGAAGATATATCTGATGAAGACATTGGCAGAAGATTTCGGCACGTCTATCATCGGAGGAATCATAAATTGACAACTATGACTTGGAGCTTTATTTATAATGCATTTATGTATTTTATTTTTATTTATATTCTGGTTTACCATTGTACCCCCAAGAGGGATTAATTATTGCTGTAGCCCAGGACATTTGAGTCTTTGTGTTTTTCTTTTATTTGAGGCATATATATGATGACCCTCCCTATTGTATGAGAGGATGATTGATTAATGAAAAATTTCAGCTTTCTAGTTCCCTTGAGTGTTGAGAGCTCTAGACAAGGAGAGAAGTCCCTAAGTGAGGGCAAAGATAATACCCTTCAGCCGTCAGAAGAGTTCGGGCTCACGGTCTACCTCCCCATTCCTTTCCCCACCACCAGCCCCCTCCCCTTTTCCTCCCAACTGATGGCCCCTTCCCCATCTCCCCCAAACCACCAGCCAAATCCCCCATCTACACCCCAAACCGCCGGCCAAATCCCTACCCGCCGGCCAAATCCCTACCCCCATCCTAAAACCGCCGGCCAAACCCTCCTCCCCCATCACAACGCCGACCTCCTTTCCCTGCTTCCACACCGCCGGCCATAATTCCCCTAACCCTTAGCCGCCAGCCTAACCTATCCCATGCCCCCTTGAATCCAATTCAATTACACCCTAATTACTTCCCTAACTTAGCCCATATCTTATTTGGAAAGTTTCTTAATTTAAATTTAAATGAATTTGAATTTTAAATTCTTTCATAAATAGCCTACACCTATTTTAGGAAGTCCCTTGATCACATAAATCTAAAATTAATTTAGATTTGATTCCTCAATCAACAATTAATGCAAGGATCCACATTCATTGAATGTGGATACTCTTCTCTCCCCTTCTCTTGGCCACCCCCCTCTCTCTCTCTCTCTCTCTCTCTCTCTCTCTCTCTCTCTCCCTTTCTTAATTAAATCCCTTTTCCCCTCTTGCTCTCAATCAAATCCATCCCATCAAGGTGCGGCCCAACATAGCCCCAAATTTGAGCAAATTCAAATTCAAATTAATTCCTCCTCTCCAATCCTAAAATCTGAATTTTCGGATTTATTCTTGCTCCCTTCCCTAACCCTAAAATCCAAAGGGAGAAAGAACCACTCCTAGCCTTGACCGAAACCCTCCAACCTGTCCCTCCTCCTCTTCTTCTCTTCTCCTTTATTTCATACAACCCAAGGAAGAAGCTATGCAACATGGCCTTCGCCCCATGAGTGGTAGATCCAGAAAGAGACCACGGATTCGGGTATGATCTTCAAGGATGAGTGGATATTCTCCGGTCTCCCTTCTTCAACCTCAACTTGGAGATCGACGACATCGTCGACGATTACGTCGACCTGATCCTCTTCACTTTGACTTCTGCCATCGACGAGCACCAAATCTCCGGACAATGGCGAGTTATTGGTTTTAAATATAAGCATTTTTTAGAGGTGAACGCCTCATTAAAGTGAAACGAGGTGTGCCTTGTGTTATGCCTCTGTTGATTTGAGGCGTACACTCGCGGAACATGGACGAAGCGTCCGTCTCGTCGCATTAATGGGCCGAATTGCGACCTCAAGGCACACCTCTTATTGCACAATTTTAAACCATGAATTCTACTAATAATATCCCCATATATTTCACCATCACTTTGAATAATAAACCCGAGATATTTAAAATGTGTACACTTATTAATGACTTGATCGCCCAAAGTCACAATCCCTGTCCTAGATCTATTACTTCTAGAACTACACTCCATGTATTCGATTTTAGATCTACTCAAATGAAAACCTTTAAACTCTAAGGCTGACCTCCATAATTCAAGTTTTCCTTCAACTCTCTCTCTAGTCTTATTAACAATAAGAATATAATCACTAAAAAGCAGACACCAAGGTACCTTCTCTTACAAGTGTATGGTAAGAACATCCATGATTAAAGAAAAAAGATAAGGGCTTAAAGCTGATCCTAGATGCAATCCAATTGAAATAGTAAAATACTTGGTCAAACCACTGCTATCAAGTCCCATGTCCTGGATGAGAAAAGTGGAGAGTTGTATTACATAATCGGGAACCAATATAAAACTTGTTGAATAATCATGACATGCACCATTTAATACATTTTGATGCAACATCTCCCCCCACTAAAAATAACTCTTTCCTAAAAACTTAAAAGTTTGTTGTTTATATAGTGAATGAAAGAGATTCAACCTATACAAAAAAAACAATCTCCTATAAGGTGGCCAAAACAAAAATCTTTGCAAATATTAATTATTAGTAAAGATTTGAAAAGACTATTAGAATCTTTGATAATAGATGCATAAATTTTTGTACGGGTGGGGCTAGAAAAAATAGTATTAGAATTTTGAGTAATGATAGACGTAGAAGATTGTGTTTGTAAAAGAGAAATAACAAGGGATTAGTAAGATTGTTGTTATGGAGATGGAATGATCATTGCGTTGTACCTATCTTACTAATTCTCAAGAAAGATAGCTTATGGAGAATGCATATCAACAAAAGAACCATCAATAACAGCACAATTAGGAACAGGTTCCTAATTCCTTAATTGGATGATATATTAAATCTAATTTTATAATCATTATTCTTCTCAAAAATTGATATTAGATGGATAATACTAAATCATAAATTTGACTGGAGATGAGTGGAAGATAGATTTTAAGAATGATGGCATGAATGAATGACTAATAACGTCATTTCATCTATCCAATGTGTGTAGTACTATTATGAAGATTTTTTTTTTTACTTTTATGAAGATTATGAACCAAGTTTTTAGGCCATTTATTGACAAGTTTTTAATTGCTTAATTTGAAAACATGCTCATTTATATCTAAGATAGAATAATTCAATCTTTTGTGCCTTATTTTAAGGCGCTTTGATAAAAAAAGTTATATATTAACTTAAAGAGGTGTAAATTTTACTCACCCACAAGTTATATTTCTTGGTTTTTGTTTCTTCCACAAGATTTGAAGCTGATCCAGAAAAGATAAACGCTATTATTAGTGGCCTCAGCAGTAATCTATTTTTGATGTTTGAAGTTTCCATGAATTAGTCATCTTCTATTGTCGTCTTATACAGGGCTTTAGTTCCATTACTATTTTAACGGACATACTGAAGCAAGACATATAAATGAACTCCTACTAAGCATTTGATCATATAAAAGCTAGATTGATTGAGTCTGGCATGCCTAAGCTTCTTGATTTTATATAAGTTTTTAAAGTATCCCATGATACTTTGGCAGTAGGAATTAGCAGTGCATTGACTTAGGAAAACTACCCTTTTGCATGCATTAGTGAGAAGCTCAATGATGCTTAGCAAAAGTACTCCGCTTATGACAATATATTTTACATTATGGTGCAAGCCTTAAGATTTCAGTGTCGTTACCTTCTTCATAAAGAGTTTTGTGCTATATTATGACCACTAAGCTCTGCGGTATTCACAATCCCTTAAAAAATCAGACCCATACTTACCTTTGATGTTGATGGTATGGTTAATTAAACATTTTCATGCTTTATTTAAAGATTTGTATCTAGAGAATATTTAAAAATTGTTTCATCAAGTTTATTTCCTTCATTATTATATTTTCCTTGGTGTTTATTTTCTGCTATATTTCTCATTGCATATTTACTTCTAACCTTTCATTATAAATAAGGTCCCGTAAGGCCATGTTGAACATTGAATGATGTTGATTGAAATATTGAATCAAAGCCTTCTCTCCAGTCAGAGGCCTCCTCAATACCAACGCAAATGGTTTAAATGCCCTGCTCTTGATTGCAGGTTGAAATTGGATCTATCTGCTGCTCTGTGTCTCAAGATGAATTAAACAGGAACGTTTCTTCAGGTTTCTTGTACGAAGTGTTTTTTACATTTTCTCTTTTCCAAATGAAGCGCTTTGATGAAATGAATATGTACAACAACTTCAGGACAAAATTTAAGGGTCTACCTTAAAGACAAATCAGCATGCCTAAAATGATGAAATAACTATAGATACAAAAGCACTATAGAAATACAAGAAAGAAACAATAACGATAATATTATGCAACTATTTAGTGCTCTTAGAAAACAGTCAAATTAATTTTTAAGGAAATTACCAAAGAAGAATCTTTGCAGCCTTCTGGCACTCAGCAACACGACAATTATATCCAGGATTATCCTTTAAGCAATGCTTAGCCCCGGAAAATGCCAATAAAATCTTATATTTATTTGCTCGTTCAGAACTTTTGGCCCCGTTTAGCATGGAAGAACTAACAAACGTATGCTCTTTTGTCTGTATAAGTAAATAGGAAAACAATAAGCGATTATAAGAACTAATAAATATTGTCATCCTACTTTTGAACCAAAAAGTGAGAAATGATAAACCTCCATGATATTAAAACACAGAACATGCAACTTCTATACAAAGCCAGGCATCTCTGCTAAATTTGATCACTATGAATTTCAGCAAAAGTAGAGGCACACTTGACATTAAGGCGAAAGCATATATTCACTGGACGGAAAAAGTGGCCGTCTGATTCCTTCAAAATATGAACTCCTAGGTAAATCTCCAGAAGAGAACTGAATCCGTAATACATACTAGAGAATATAATTCATGCATATAAACAGGCAACATCTTGGTAGTTGAATAGCATGGTAAAATCTACACAGGTATCAAATTAGTTAACCACACTACACAGACCTTGACCTTTTCGAAAATACGTTGCTTGAAGCCATATATATACCTAAGAAACCAAAGCAGCCAACTCAATATCTGTCACTCAATAAAGCCAAATATGGAATTCTATGTTCGCTCAAGAAAAATGAAGCTTAGGCATAAATCCCATTTTTCAGACTGAGGATTCTATTCTCCTTAAAGAAGATTGATTTTTAATTAACCAAAATTTCCCCGAGGTTCATATCAAGGCTTATTAAGATATTAGTCCTTATTTTCTATGAGCACAAGCCCTCATAGTTAATTACCTGTCCTACTAACTTTCGATTAAGGATGAATCATTTAGCATAGCTTCAAAATTTTTAAGTTTTAGTCTCATTTATGGGGGATGGAGGTAGACCCGATCAAGATCCTATAATTCCACATCCTGAGAATACTGTGAATCTCAATCTATCAATGCTAACAAACCATTGGTTGTAACGTCCAGGGAATCTAATTAGCAACCATAGGATGCTTCCTCTCAGGGATCCCGAGTAGATTGGTTGGTTAAATGTAAGTTTTGGCTTTGTTATTATTTAAGTTTGGGGCTTACGACCCCATTTAGGAGTTGCCCACATATTTGATTTAGGATGGGGCTTACGGCTTGTAATTTAACTTCGAGAATTATTACTTCATTTAGAAGTTTTCCAAACAGTAGGTCTTATTACTTCCCTTGAAAGTAGTCTATTCGTTTAGTTTTGGATAGGTCTTACGACTTTCATTGAAATTTGTTTGTTTGTTTAGTTTTGTATAGGTCTTACAACTTTCATCGAATGTTGCCTGTTCGTTTCACTTTGCAGTTTATTAGGATTTGTTTTATCACTTCACTTGAAAGTTTCCTTAACATCATAGTTAAAAATAGGTCTTACTACTTCCCTAAGAAGTAGCCTATAGTTTAGGTTAGGAATGAGTTACTTCATTTAGAAGTTCCTTCAATACATTAATTTGAGTAGGACTAGGACTTACTGCTTCCATTGGAAATTACCCGTACTTTTAGTTTTGAATAGGCCTTACTGCTTCTTTTAGAAGTTGCCTGATAGTTTATATTTGTTGCATAATGAATAGTTATTTTAATTTCACATTCTTCCTGCCTCAGTAGATTTCTTTTTTACTTCAACACTACTGTTTTAGTTTCAGTCCTTCATTTTTAGCAATGTAATTTTGTTACAGCACTTTGACTTCTCCCTTACTACTGTTGCTAAATTTGTCCTTTCTTTATTTGTTTGTAGGAATTTGAAATCTTCACAAAAGCTTGTTTGGAGCTTTGCGATATTGAGTGTTGGTTTGGCTTGAGTTCAATTGAGTTGGGCTGAGTTTTGTACTTCGTGTTTTGTGGAGTTTTTTAGTTTCGGAGTTTAGTTTGGGTCAGTTGGACCATTGTACAAAAGATAATTTTTAGTGCAAACAATTATGTTTTTTCTCCCTTCATCTTTTTTATTGCATTTTTTTTAATTAATTACTTAATCAATTATTTAAAAGAATTTTTAATTCATCATCTAATTAATTAATTAATTAATCAATCAATTAATTAAAAGAAATTTTATTATGTTTAATTAATTAATTAAAAGAGATTTTAAATTAATTAATCAATTAATTAATTAATTAATTAACTAATTGAGATAAAATTAAAAATAAAATTTATTTATTGCTCAATTAAATTAATAGAAATAGGATTTTGGATCAATTTATATTATTTTAGTTAATAAAAATATATTTATTTATTTATTCTTAATTTGCTCTCCAAAAGCCCTAAAAAAATTCTAATTTTAAAAGGAAAATATAGCGACCCACCCTCCCTGTGAAGGGATGTTAGGGTCACTTGCCCTTTCAATCCACCCGGCTGAATCAAAATTTGACAGTCGAGGGCTTCCGGACCCTGATTAGTCTCGATATAGGTCTTCTGGTCTTCCAACGAGGCACCTATTATATATTTTTATCAAGAAAATCTTATCATGTTATTTTTTTCAAAAATTCAACAGCCTCCCAACGTCCCCTCCCTGCAAGGTGAGGTAGGGAGGATATTTTCCCTTTCAATCCCCCTGGCAAAATTAAAAAGTCAATGGCCGAGGGCTTCAGGATGAGTATCGATCACGATACGAGTCTCAGATCTTTAAATTACGGTTTTGGCACCTAGTGTTATTATTGTATTTATTATTTACAAAAACTCCTGTGGAATTTGGTCGGGGCGTACAACCACACGCAGAAGCGGGTGCACAGGTCGGAGGCACGGGGTCGGCGTGGGGGCTGATTCAAGTGCTAATAAGCTAGTGGGATCGACTTGCGCACAGGCTCACATGAGTGAAGTGGTGCTCGGGTTGGTTGAGTGTTGGGCACTATATACGCGATTATGCACGGAAGCAGGGGCACGAGTAGGAGAAATTATTTGGTGCGAAGTCCGGACGCAGCTCTAATTAAATATTGACACGTGGAGGAGACAAGTGGATGTTCGATTAGATATTGTTTATTATTTGTCTTGTCAGCACGTCCAAACTTACCTGGCTCAACCCAAATTATTTAAATTCGCATGCAAAAGACTTGAAGCTAGGTCATTTTACTTTTCACCCGGCATCTTTCACTGCTCACTCTCTCTCATTTAGTATTCCAGATGCTATTCTTTCAATCCTTCGGCATTCCAGACGTTGCAAAAGTTCGTGTCCTTTACAAACATGTACAAAAACTTGCTAATGCCTTTGATGCGCTTTTACAACATTTTTTTTTTGTATTTTAAAAACTAGGTCACATAAGTTTAAAAATTTTGATTTGTTTTTGTTCGTTTTAGCCTCATTTTCACTACGCTTTAAGTATGCTTTCATTATGCTTTTGTTTTCATGGTATCAGTTTGTATATCGATTTCTCAAATTTTCAAAACTAGGTTGCATAACTTTAAAATATCTTAGTACATTTTTAAATAGTTATTTGCATTGCTCTTTCCTTTTGCATTTGCTCTTGTGCTTTCTCTGCGCTTTAATTGCGCTTTTTCTTTAAGAAAGAAAAGCGTAGTGTAAGCACAACGAAAGCACAGAGAAAGCATAGTGGCCCTTTATGTTCCTCCAATCACTGCTCTTATTCACAGAGTATTTTTCTTTATTTTTTGCAGATGACTCCTTATATTAATTCAATTACTTATCATTGCTATGTTTCAACCTTCCAAAATATTTATGATTCATTTGTCGATATAATTAAGAATGATGTTGAGAACGCTTTAAGGACTTTTAACATCTATCAATTTTTGAAGTTCACACTATTCCAACAAAATGTACCTCTAATATACGAGCTGCTGAAATTCTGGGATATCTCTAAACATGGCTTCATTATCAAAGGTCATTTGTCGAAATTTACATCTGATGAGGTGGCTCTGCTAACAAGTTTGATTTGGAAAAAAAATCTGCATGCTTAAATTTCTCCATGTAATACTTTCTTCAATCAATTTAACCAAAAATTGTTCATAGGTTTTCCCATCAGTGTTTAGATCATATGCCAGAGTGAGTCACTTACAGGATTTTTATCAACAAAAATTAAAACTAAAATGACAACTAAACAGATCAACTGACCAAGAACTATGTTAAGGACTTTTATAATGTTTTTTATTTCTAATTTATTTTTCCCCCTCAATAACTTAAAAACCCCAAGAGACTCCTATCTATAGCAAATAATGTAGACAAGTTCTCGTCTATTAATTGGACCGAAAGTATTAGGGAATTTTTTATCAATGAATTTAATAAAATTTGCTACTAAGTTTACCATGGACAGCCACTTGGTTACATAAATAATTTTGTACCTCCTATTGGTGAGTCCTAAGTTCATTAAATCCAATTCTAATAACAATTTTTTTTTTACCTAATATTACTTTATGTGGTCTTATACATATATCGTTCCTAGAGCACTTCCCTAAATACCAAATTTTAAGACAACATTTTCTTAGAGAGTGTGTGTGTGGGGGGGGAGGCGCAATACAGATGTTTTTTATTCTGTAAAGAAGGCTAACAATTTATTTGCTAACTTGAAGAAAAGGTAGGTACGTATTGAGAGATGTCATGGAGCTCATTTCAATGAATTCCTAAAGTGCGATTTTTTCCTTACAATTTTATATAATTTTGAAAAGACTTATAGTTTCTGGAGGATGCAAAAAATGAGCTCCAAATAATTGCAATTGCTAACCTCCAAATACAAACTCAATCTCCTCACCAAATCCCCTCCCCAATACCAAATTTTTTTTCACCCATATCCCTTATTCTCCCATGCAAGACCACCCAAATTTTACCCATCAAGACCCCCTCTAGCTCATGGTGAGGAGTGGGCTAGTGTTCAAAAGAAATTGCTTGGTTCCCTCCAAAACATTTGCAATAGAATTAAAGAGAATTTAAGCACCAGGCCTAATCAACTTGAAGTAAAGGTCGATTCTCTTGAATACACGCTTATCCACCATATAACCTAATGTAAATATGATCCAGAAAAACTATTGTATCGTCCTCATCCTCACTTACCCATCTATACAGAACCCCCCCACAATTGCCCCTCCAACTCACTGATCTGTACATAAAGCCCCCCCCCCCCCCCCAATCTGTACAATAGCCCACAATCCCCCCCCATATATACAGAAATTACTCCCACTGTGCCCGAAGCACCCCAATCTGTTCATAAATCCCCCACAAGTGTACAGAAAGCCCCCTCCACAGCTGCTTCTACACTCCCAGCTTCCCCCAAAGCATCCCAATATGTTCATAAACCCCAAGTGTACAAAAAGCTCCCCACACAGCTACCCCTAAACACTTTCAGCTGTTTATAAAGCCCCCATGTGTACAGAAAGCCCCACCACAGCTGCCCTCCAGCACTCCCATATGAACATAAAGCCCCAAACTTCACAACAAGCTTCGCAGCTGCCCTTCCAGCACTCCCAAGCTGCGCCCCAAGTATCCCAATATGTTCATAACCCCCCCCCACCCAAGTGTACAGAAAGGCCCCACCACAGCTGCCCCTCCATCACTCTCATCTGTTCATAAAGCCCCCCAAGTGTATAGAAAGCCCCCACCACAGCTGCCCCTCCAGCACTCCCATCTGTACTTATAGTTTCAAAAATTTTTCTTAAAAAATTAAATTGAACACTTCTAGATAAAGCACAGTCAAAGGCCAGCAAAAACGCGGTTAATTATTTAGCTACAATTCACTGCACTTTAAATGTGCTTTTGTTGTCCCATCACTAAATCATATTGAACACTTATAGCAAAAGCGCAATGAAAACACAGCTAAAGTGCAGTTAATTATAAATTCACTTGGCATTTGTTGCGCTATCACTACACTTTAACTACGCTTTTGCTGCGTTGTAGATGCTCTTACACTATTTTACTAGCGTAAATACTTACTAACTGATGTGAAATAATATATAGTGTAAAAATGTTTCTAGCAAGAGCTGAAGTAATACATAGTGTAAAAACGTTACTAGCATGAACTGAAGTTAAAATAAAAGCACAGTAAAAACACAACAAAAGCGCAGCAAAGCCTAGTGAAAGCGCAACAAAAGCATAATGAAAGTGCAACAAAAGTGCAGGAAATGATAGAACTATATTTCAACGAGCATTCACTGTGCTTCTACTGCGCTTTTGATGCACTTTAAATATGTTTTCACTGCATTTTGAAGCATATTTAAAGCACAACGAGAGCGCATTGCAATATTAGCAAGAGCACATGAAAAGGGTGGAAAAAGTACAGTGAAAGCGTCGTCGAAGTGCGGTAAATGTGTCGTGAAAGTGCAGCAAGAGCATAGTTGCAATCCACAATGAAAGCACAGTAGCAAATGCGCAGTGCTCTTTTGCTTTTTCTATGCACTTGTATGCACTTATACTGAGTATTGATGTGTCAAGATTTAATTGGAGTCCGGACGCAGAGCTACGTACGTCCGGACTCCGCACCAAATCATTTCTCCACGGGAAGAATACTAAATGGGGTAGCTTCACTCGTAAGCCAGAAAAAAGACAAGCAAACAATAAGTTTTTTTTGTTTTTTGTTTTGTGATATTTTGTGTTAACCAAAAGGATGTGTCGCTTCTGAAGAGTGTATTTGTTCGCTCATTCTCTGAAACAGTGTATCTGTTCATTTTTTTAAAAAAATTTTGTTGTCTTTTTAATTATTATTTTAAATTAGTCAAAAATTTGCCTCGCAACAATTTTTTTTTATGATTTTAATGTAATAAATTTGTTACAGTCGCCGATTGTGTGATTTTCATCGTCCACTCTTTTTTTCGGTTATGATGTTTGATTGGAACAAACCCCGTTCACTATCCAATTTTGAGCCCTTGGAGGAACATCTATGGAGAAAAATTGGCAGATACGATCCTTCCCAATCAGCTTCTATTCAGGATTGATTATATTGGCATCGAGAGAAGTTGGGCAACAATATTAAAATTTGAGCAACAGTCTTAAAATTTGGACAACAATGTTCAACATAATGTCAAAACCCATGACCACAAGTCAGAGCCAGTTGGATCAAAATCAATTCCCATGTTTCAAACTACAGTTATAAATTTTCAGTATGGTTCGTTAGTAAAACACCACTTTTAAGCAGCTTAAAAAAATTACAATGGGCAATAAACACTAAAATCAGAAAATAAAATAACCAAATGGAAAAAAAAGTGATACAGAAATGGAAAAACAGTAATTTCGAAAGAAGGAATGGATAAATAATTTTCTGTAATTTAAAATTTTTTCATAAATTTAATGCCCAACCTTGCAATCCATGAGAGTAAGGTAGCCATATTTGGAAAGTAATATTGCTGATTGATCAAGGATGCCATTTCGTAGTCCCAAATATGCATTTTCAATTAATCTGAAAGAAAAGGATATTATATATAAAGGCATGCCATGCATCTCATGGCTTATAAAAATTATGAAATTTGACAAAATTTTATGCAACACAAAGGTGTTACTCTACACACAATCGTAAAGCCAAGCACATGCTATATAAGGCTTTCCACCACATGTTCCCCAAATATATCGACAATATAGTTTATGTTTATAAAGAAGAAAATATAATTGCACTGCGATAAGATGACATAGATGGGGATATTATTAATAGAATTGAAGTTGGATTGTTGAAGAGGAATGCATAGGGCATATTGTGTGATAGAAAAGTCCCCTCAAACTTAAGAAAATTTTCTATAAAATAGTGGTAAGACCTACAATATAGGCTACTACAAAAAGTTCGTGAAGTGATACCATTCAACAACATGACCTTTGATCAAATAACTAAAGAAGGATAATTTCAATTGGAGTGAAGCAACTACCAGGGCTTTGAACAGTTGAAGAAGGCGATGACCAACGTGCTAGCGTTAGCTCTACTTAACTTTAGCCAGCCCTTTGTGGTGGAGATGAATGCTTTGGGGTATGGGCTAGGTTTTATACTTATGCAAGACCAGAGACAAGTGGCTTATTTCAATCAGGTGTTGACTGTCAGGGCAAGGCTCAAGTCAGTATATAAGAGGGAGCTGATGGTGATTGTGTTAGCCATCCAAAAGTAGCGACCCTACATATTGGGGCGACACTACATTGTCAGGATTGATCAAAGAAGCTTAAATTTTCTTCTGGAGCTAAGGATTGTTACAGATGAGGATCAGAGTTGGCTTTCGAAACTGTTGGATTAAGATTTTAAGATTCAGTATTGACCGAGGATAGTTGACAAGATGAAGGATTGGAAAAAATCTAGAGAGATTTATTGGGGAATAAGGATAGCACATGATATACCTTAGTCGATCAAAGATTGTTATACCAGGGGCGAATGGTATGTACCCCACTTGCTGCGGGAGTTCCACGATAGTGTCATAGGAGGGCACTTGGGGGTATAGAAGACTTATCGTAGACTTTGTGGACTCCAGAAATTCACGCCTCGGCCTCTCTACAGACCCTTTCTTTCTTTCTTTTTTTCGGGTCATCGAGAAGAGTTTTAACAATTAAGTTTCGAGGCAAATTTTTAGAAGGCGTATTAGGTTTGTAGATAAGTCACTACTAAGAGATTTCTCCCTAATTTTGTGAGGACTTTATGATTTGAGTTCAGGTTTTCTATAGGTGCAAGACCCTATAGTTAATTACTCCTCTCGATAACGAGAGATAACTGTTGATTAAGGCTAGTCGTCAAACAGATATGTAGAGATATATGGTATCCGGTGTATAGTAGCAGCATGTGTTTAGTTTTTGAAACTTGATATTTAAAACTGAAAATTTTACCATCTTGCACTTAAAGCAAATGGTGGGGGAGGTGATGATGGACCCAATTCAGATCTCATGGTTCTATCATTCCGGGTCATCATGGTTCCTAGTCTACTTAGTCAAATGAGGTAGTCGACCCGACCCAACTTGATAAAAGGATCCTTGTCGGCAGCCATGGGTTGCTTCGTCCAAGAGTACCTTGTAGACCTAGGATGAATGTTTGTCTAAGGGGACAAATCAGAATCCCCTTTAGCTAATAGAGAGTTTTTTACCTTATTAATATATCCTATTGATTCATATCTCAAGGATTTGGAGCCATTGGAGAAAATGCAGGCTCTGACCATGATCGTAATTTAGTGGAACCATTTGGCGACAAAGATATCTAGTTCAGAGGGTCCCGGTCATAATTGTTTACTTGTGGTGCCATCTAGTGACGAAACCACCAATTAGAGGACACGTGTCACATCCTTACTGGCAATAGACTATTTGAGAATGAATCCTAATGATATTATTGACCAGACATTGACTCTTTGTGAGCTGAAATAATTTTTCAAAATTTTCACCTTGGCAAATTATTGAGAGTGGACAAAATTTACTTTAAGTGTTTGATGGTTAATTTTAACTTTAAATATTTTGAATTTTTATGAGAATTTGTAGAGCATTTTGCATATTTGGGGTCCCCTTCGGTTGAGATTTTCTGTCAATATGGCCATTGTCAGGGTAATTTTAGGTAATTTTTTATTTTGTGGGTTGAAGCTTGTCAACTTTGTCGACTTGCCACCAGAGAATCGGGTTCATTGTCGGCTTTATGTTTTCATTAGATATATTTTTTTGTTATAGACCTTGAAGACCTGATATGAACGTATAAAATAAATATCTCGGTCGATGTCGTGCCCATATATTTGTTTGATGGTTTGAACCCTGTTGACTCCTATGCGTATATGCAGGAGGATTGGGTTCAAACATGGGTTCATTTTTTAACATGCGCAATAACCTCAAAAATCACATCTATGTACAACACGCTAGTTGGGGCCTATGTGGGTATAGGTATTTGCATGCATTTTGAATGATACATTTGTATGATGTATTTGCATAGTGGTGGTATGTAATATGTATACAATATAACAGATACATGCATCATATTTGTATATGTGTGTATGTATTGATATTTTGCATGATGTATTTGTGTAATGATTGTATGTAGTGCGCACGACATATTGCATATTCCCATGCATTTAGATTCTCACATGTGCGTTGACACACAAACAACGCATTTGCCTATTTGCATGTGTATAAGTATATTGCAATGATATGTTGTGTAGCAGCTTGAAAAATAATCGTAGTATGTGATGTATTTGCAAGATATTTTGCATAGCAGATGTTCGTATGCAGTGTAGTAGCCTAATGTATTAATGCAACGTATGGTATATTTGCATGACATGTGTATGATGCATCAATGCATTGCCCGTTAGTTTGCAAAATGCATTTGCATGGCGATTCAACACTTTGTAGATAGCGGATGTAAAATTTCTTCCCTATATATAATAATAATAAATAAAACTTCCCTACTACTTCCATCTTCTCCCCCATTCTCAAGCCAAGCTGCGCCATACCCAAGCTCACACATACCCATGCCTCATCCACACCCCATACCAGTGCCTTGTCCTCGCCATCTCAAATCGAGTAGCACTTTCTCGCTTCCTCGATCACACGACCCTAAGTCAGCACTATCTCCCTCTCTTAGTCTCTCACTTCCAAATTCCCAAAAACCTCCACGACTAAGAAATGAGGAAGTCAGGCGTTATGGGTACTAGCAAGGGTTTTAGCTTCAAATTTTTCATAAACTATCTAGCCAAATTATTCTCCACAAAAAGAAACTTTCTCAATAATTCCTCTAAAAATTTGTGTTTATATTATCTATGTCCACATTTAAAAAAAAAAAACAGGAGTAAACATGATCCTAAAGCTCCTAAAATATGACTTTATTGGGGATTTCTCCAATGAAAAAGGGTATAAATATTATTATCCCGACATAAAAAAATGCATTATTACAAAAGATGTCACCTTTGATGAGAAGTAAAATTTTTTCAATCAAACTCATCTTCAGGAGCAAAACAGGAGCAAAACTCTAAACTAGAAGGTTAACTATATATTTCATCTTGACATTCGTACAATAAACTCAAAAAAATTCAAACACAATACCCCTTCAAGTTTATATAAGGAAGAATAAGCAAAGAAAAACTTTCTAGCAAGAGACTCACAACTACTATTAGGTAATAATGATCAACTCATCAGTTTACATTCTCCTCTGCAACTCCCAATACATATTTTTTCAAAGCTTTTCTCCATCCTTGCAAATATAATTTCTAATTCCATTAAATTACCATAGACTCTAATTGAGAAACTTGAAAATAAGAGTTAGAATAATTACATGAGCGACGTAATGAAAGATCTAGAAAAAAAATCACACATGGGAAATGATTGAACTACTAAAACAGAAAAAAAAAGTAGGACAATTGGATTTTTTTTTATAAAAAATGTAGAGCAAATGGAAGGTTGAAATAGTATAAAGAAAAATTAGTCGTCAAATGACACTCTCAATCTCATAGAACTAAATATAAAAAAAAAATGCTTCTATTATGAAAATCAATGTAATACAAATCTTAATTTCTCATGCAACTTGGAATGATATATTTATATTATTCAGTTTGAGGGGAGTATTGAATAATCATGGGACCTACAAGTTAACCAATCTTAGTAGAAATACTGATACAATCAAGCTGTCCCTTGGCTGCTATCTGTATGTTTTTGGTTTTCCCCCCTTGGTGCTTCGGTTTCCCCCTCCTTTTATGTTATGTGGATGCTTCGTTTTTCCCCCTTAGCCGCTATCCCTTTGGTCCTTGTTTGCTAGAACTTTCTAGGTGTTCCTATTGGCTGATTGGGAGGTGCATTAACTACATTTATTAATTATTTTTTTCATTTTTCACCTATAAATGGGGCTATTTTGTGGCAGTTTTAGGAAGGATGTGTGATGATTTTTGGAATATAAACGTTCGGGTTTGTTCTAGCTTACGAGCTAAGCTCGTTTCCCCTTCCCCTCTATCATTTCGTCTCGATTTTCTACCACTTCTTCTTTATCCACGGTTCCCTCCCCATCTGTATCTTTCTTCTCTTAATTACTATAAATTGTAAGTTATTGTGTTCTAGTATTATAATATTATATATGTATTTGTGTATGTTTATGGTAAGGAAGACTCTTAGTTTGCCATCTTAAATTGTGTGTGTGCTTTTTTTTTATTACACCAATTTGGTATTAGAGCTTTAGGTTGTAGGTCATGTCTTTCTTTCTTTCTAAAAAAAAAGAAATGCTAAACACTGAACAGGCCGAAGTTCACCTCATGATGCAAAGGAGTCTGCAAATGGTGAAAGTCAGCCTTCTATGCAGACGATCTCATCAGGAGATGAGGATTCTCCACCTTGGGAGGATTGATGCAATCAAGTTGTCCCTTGGCTTTTATCTAGATGCTTCGGTTTTTCCCCTTTGGTGCTTCGATTTCCCCCTCCTTGGAAGCTATGTTGTTGCTTTGGTTCCCCCCTCCCCCTCCCCCTTTATGCTATGTGGAT